AGAGTAGATATAGAAGAACTTGTATTTTGTTCCAAAGACTCTTTTTTCTTAGGAAATATATGCTAAAAAAAGTTAGCATGCAACGTTTTAATAATTGTGTGAAGGCTTGGAGTCTCAAGATTCAAAAATCTATAAGCCTTACTGGTATGTGAATAACCAATAAATACACAATCTACTCCTCTATATCCTATCTTAGTCAATTGTTGATCTGGTAATCTACCATGAGTCAAACAACCCCATACTTTAAAATAATTTATATTTGGCTTTCGATTCTTCCAAAATTCATATGGAGATGAATCATGTTTCTTGGAATGAATTCGATTCAAAATATGACATGTAGAAAATAAGGCTTCAGTCCACAAATTTTCAGTGATACCAGATCCCTAAATCATAGAGTTAACCATTTCAATGAGAGTTCTATTTTTTCTTTCTGCTACACCATTTTGTTGTGGTGTATAAGACATAGTCAATTGTTTCTCAATGCCTTCTTTTTCACAAAAATCAATAAAATTTGATTTTAAATATTCTCCACCTCTATCAGATCTAATTGATTTAATCTTCAAACTCAATTTATTTTCAACTTCTGCTTTATATGTTTTAAAAGTCTCAAATGTCTCATCATTTATTTTTAATGGAAATACATATGTATACCTTGAGTAATCGTCAATGATAGTGATAAAATATCTCTTTCCATGACGTGATAAAAATTCCATCTCACAAATATCAGTGTGGATTAATTCCAAAAGTGTGGATATCCTTTCAACAAACTTAAAAGGTTTCTTTGTTATTTTACATTTAATACAAGTAATACACTTAGCAACATGATCCTTTCCACAGTCTTTAATTAATCCATTTTTCATCATAAGTTGAATGGATCTAAAATTCACATGACCAAGACGTTCATGCCATAAATCTAAAGACTCCACAATATAAGCAGAAATATTTTCATTTTCAATATTGAGTTTGAACATGCCATTTGTAGCATAACCTTTTCCAACAAACATGCCTTGTTTAGACAAAATAAATTTATCTGCCTCAAAAATCATTTTAAAACCATGCTTCGAAAGAAACGTACCTGACACCAAGTTCTTTCGAATATTAGGAACATGCAATACGTCTATCAATGTGACAATCTTTTCGAAAGTGAATTTTAGTTCAACAGTTCCCTTTCCCACAACCTTAGCAGAGTATGAGTTTCCCATATGTAAAAATTTATCGCCCCCACTAATTCATATGTCGTGAAAGAATTTCGATTACCTGATAGATGACGAGTTGCACCAGTGTCTATCCGCCATTCCACTTGATCTCCCGCTACAAATGCTTCAGTGACCATTGCCACCAGTTCATTTTTTGTATTGTTATTTTCCTTTTCTTTCTTTTTTTCAGCTTTAAGAATTTTACAATCACGTGCATAATGACCAATTTTATGACAATGATAACATTCAATCGACTTAGAATTAGAATTAGTACGCTTGAAATTTTTACTCTTCTTTGCCTTCAAATATTTATTATTGGCAGGTTCCTTCTTGATATTTTCTTCAACAACATGAGCTTTCATGATGGGCTCCCTCAAGATGTTATTGTCGCGGTATCGTGTCTCTTGTTCAATTTGCAAGTGTTGCAATAATTGTTCAAGAGTCAAATCTTCCTTCTTGTGTAAGAGTTTGGTTCTGTACTCTTTCCAAGATGGAGGAAGTTTTGAGACAACGCACCAACATGAAAGTTTTCATCAAGATCTATTCCAGTTATAACAATTTTATCAGCTATAAGTTGAAATTCTTGTACTTGTTCAGTGATTGACTTGTCATCAACCATTTTGAACTCCATATAATTTGAAAGAAGAAATTTCTTTGAACTCGCCTCTTCTGCTAAATGAATAGCTTTAAGAGTATCCCAAATCTCCTTAGCAAATTTACACTTAATATAATATTGATCATAATATTTATTGGAAATTCCTCCAAGAATATAATTCTTGCATAAGTAATCATCATCTTGCCATTTGACAATTTGTTCTTTAATTAAAGTAGCCTCGTCCGTTGCTACCTCAGAACTAGGAGCCTCATGACAAGGTTTCTCAAGCACATACGCTAACTTTAATCGTCTTAAAAAGAATTCCATCTTTCCACGCCATCTAGAAAAGTCTTTTCCATCAAATATTTCAAAATTAGGATTAGGCAAAGATGGAACATTGTTCGTTATTGATTTGGATGCCATAGAGACAACTACCTTCAAATTGTTAGAACAAATGAACCAGAACGATAAAATTACAAGGAATACAAAATAAAACTTGCTTGGCTTAGAGGCACATTAATACGTTTCTTGAAGATAGTTGGAGTCTCTCCCACGAGCAATCGGAAGAATAAATAACAACTCTATCTTCGGGATTCAACTAAGCCACAGAACAAGTAGCATTCAAGAATGTTTCTCTTCTATTCTTGAATTGGTGATTTCACCTTTTGATCGATGTCTCACAAGTATTTTCAAGGGAAAGTACTTTTTGTTTGAATGCCTATCTTTTTCAACCAAAGGAAACTCAATTTATAGGATAAAAAGTTTTGCAAGAAAAATATTTTTTAAATTAATAGAATTTATTAGGTTCATGAATTGGAAACAAAAAATTTATCTTTCAAAAACCCATAACGTAGAATTAAAAAAAAATTCTTGCAAATGTTTATAACAAAAAAATAAATAAATGAATGTTACAACTCACATTCATGTATTTGTTATTTCAAAACGGATGAATTTGTTTCAAAATTAATTGAAACACTAACTCTTACACACCTTCACCACCACCTCCACCACCATACTATTATAAATCTCCACCACCGCCTTCACCATCACCACCCCCGCCATATTATTATAAGTCTCCACCGCCACCTTCTCCTTCACCTCCTCCACCATAGTATTACAAATCTCCACCACCTCCTTCACCTTCTCCTCCACCTCCTTATAGCTACAAGTCTCCTCCACCCCTATATCCATCACCACCACCGCCATACTATTACAAGTCTCCTCCTCCACCATCCCCATCACCACCTCCACCACACTATTACAAGTCTTCACCACTGATATGCTCAAACTTACTTCTCAAATAAGAAGTAAAGCGGTCGTATCAAGTAAAGAACACAACTAATGAGGTTTGGATCGTTCCCACGAGAAAAATGGTTCAGACTTAACTTAAATCTATTATTACTATTATTTAGTCAATTATTTCCTTAGAAAACAAAAGACAATAAGGGGGGGGGGGTTATTTCTAAATTAATAAAAATAACTATCTAAATTAAAGTAACCACTAATAGATTCAAATCTTGGAGTTTAATCAATAAATCAACGTAACTAGGGTTTAAGTGTTCCCCACAAGTTTCTAACTTGATAATTCTAACTATAACAATTCTTTCCTAGTATCTTGCATGCAAAGTGATAAATTATGTATTTCTAAATCCTTGGTCCGACATCTAGAAAATTTCACTCCGCACCTTGGTCTGGCTACGTGTGTTTCTATACTAACACTTACCTTTAACTCATATTAAGCATTGTATTCGATATTTGACTAAGTTATTATCTCGTACCAATCAATACTAGTCCATTAAATAGTATACACTAAATATATGTTGATAATTCTTTTCCTATTATCTACCTCCTTGGTCCGCCAAGTAGCATTAAGGCGAGTTCTAAATCCGTTAAAAAGACTTCTAAACGAAAGAATTATCAATACATGCAAGACACTATTCTTTTGTTGTTATTTTAGTTAGATTTTACCTCATTATTCACTCATGGTTCCAACAACCCTAGTTATGGAGTTTAGTCACCCATAGTCATAATCACAATATTCATATATGTAATATAAGAATTCATGCAGTTACTTCAATGAGAAAGAATAAATTCCAGAAGTTCACTTGATTAATCAACAAACGCACCAACAATCAATTCCTGAAAAAGTGTCTAAATTACTGAAATTAATCAAGGACTAATGATTCTTCAAAAGTATAACACAATCACAAAGTCTACTAACAAAGAGTCTAACATAAGAGAATCTAACTATAAGAGTGTCTAACCCCAAAAACGAGGTTTTTACAACTATTTATAAAAAAACAAAAACCTAATAAAAGAAGGACTCTAATTGCTGAAAATCTGTCAAAATGTGGCTGGGTCGACGGACCTCGTGACGGGCCGTCGTAGTCACGACGGGCCGTGATGGTCACGACAGGCCGTCATGGCCTCCGTCATCCTATACTTTACAAATACTTATGCTACTTTTTTCATTACCCTCGACGAAGAGGTATGACGGACCGTTCCAAGCACGACAGTCCGTCGAGGGTCTCCATTCCATAACACTTAAACTTCTTGGAATTTTGGTACAGGTACTACTTCTCTGATCGTCACAACGAACCAGCAGGATGGACCTTCGTGGCTATGACGGTCCTCATGCAATTCGTAACCCCACACTAGGTAAAATTTCCCCAACTTCCTTCAGCAGCTTCACTACGACGCCACCTACGGACTGTCACAGGCACGACGGACCGTCATAAGCTCCGTAAGTGCTAACTTTTGTACATTTCTTGCTCAAAAACTTTTGTGTTCATCTTTAGACAGATTTCCTACAAATAAAGGAAAACTTACATAAAAATCAATACTAAAAGGCTTTTGGACACACTAAACTTAAGGAAAAAACATTATAAATACCGTGAAACCACGGTATATCAACCACCTACCAAATCACCTCTTCCCCCGTACTATTAAAAGTCTCCACCATTACCAGTGAAGTCTCCCCCTCCACTATAATACTACTCCTCAATACCACCACCGAAGAAATCACCTCCCCCACCATATCACTACACTTCCCCACCACCACCTGTTAAGTCACCACCTCCTACATACTATTACTCCTCGCCGCCACCACCCAAGAAATCACCTCCAACTCCAAACTACTACAAGTCTCCTTCAACTCCAACTCATTACTATCCTCCACATCATCAATTTATGGTCAAAGTTGTCGGAAAATGTCTCATGGCAAGAAGCACCTGGAAGGTACCATAGTGTTTATATCATACCTGTTTTCTTTATTTTCCCTTAATTTTCTTAAGATAAATTATCCAACTACAAATGTGTCGCTTTTTATTTGAATCATTAATCCTCTTTACTATCATCGATATCTATAGTTATAATTAATTTTTTAAAACGTCAAGAAAATTTACAAGGCAACAACTAGAAGCACTATTTTTACAATTGCATGAAAGTAGTTTGTTCTTGCTTGAAAGAGTATTTACTATGAGAAAAACAAGTTATGATTACCATTTTATATGATGAATACAAGGCATAGTTCTGGAGGAAGTAGGGACATATCTAAATCATCATATGTTAAAATATCTATTAATGTTTTGGTGTTAATTAATGTATTATTTCTGTTTTTACATGGATTTAGGTGTTGTTGTTGAAGTAACTTGCAAGGATGGTGACAAGAAAACCGTGAGTTATGGTACTACTAAGATCAACGGAAAATTTAGTATCACAGTTGAAGGATTTGAATATCGCAAATATGGAGCAAAGGCCTGCAAAGCTAAACTCCACAATGCTCTAAAGGATTCAAAGTGTAGAATTCCTACAAAGCTACACTGGGAATAAAGAGTGCTAACCTTAAAGTGAAGTCAAAGAATAAATATGAAGTTGTACTCTATGCAAAGCCATTTGCTTATGGCTCTAGAAACCTTATGCAGAATGCCAAAAGCCCAAGCCTACACCTGCTCCATGCTACTATAAATCTCCTCTGCCTCCATCACCAACTTATGTTTATAAGTCACCACCTGCTCCATCACCAAAGTATGTGTATAAATCACCACCTCCCCCAACCCTCACATACGTTTATAAGTCTCCGCCACCACCTGCTTACTATTACAAATCTCCTCCACCACCAACTAAGTCTACACCACCTCATTATTATTACAAGTCTCCACCTTCACCATCACCAAAACCTACACCAGCATACTATTACAAATCTCCGCCTCCACCAACAAAGTCTCCACCACCTTCTTATTACTACATTTCTCCACCTCCACCATCACCAAAACCTGCACCAATATATTATTATAAATCACCTCCTCCTCCATCACCATCTCCCCCTCAACCATACTACTACAAATCTCCACCATCACCATCACCTCCACCAACCTACTATTACAAGTCCCCTCATTCGCCATCGCCATCTCCACCCTCACCATATTATTACAACTCACCACCACCACCATCGCCATCTCCTCCACCACATTACTACTATAAGTCTCCTCATCCACCATCGACATCTCTTCCACCACCTCACTACTAAATGTCTCCACCTCCACCATTCCCATCACCTCCCCCACACTACTACAACAAGTCACCTCCTCCACCATTGCCTTCTCATCCACCACCTTACTACTACCACTGTCCACCTCCACCAGTTAAGTCTCCTCCTCCACTCTATTACTACAGCTCACCTCCTCCACCCGTGAAATCGCCTCCTCCACCAGCATACATTTATGCTTCTCCACCACCTCCAACTCACTACTAAGTATTTCTAGGAGCTCAACCATTCTACCGAATCATTCAAGTGAGTAGCTATTTGAATTGTGGTATTTTATTTTTTTTGATATAAGACTTTTATTTCTTCTAAATAAATCTCTAATCTTCTATTTGGTTGTTTCTATTCAGATTTAAATTTGATGCACAAAATAATGAATGGTTTCTTGAGGGAAAGATTAAAACTCCAATGGAAATACTCATCAATTAATTTATTGGATAAGATTTTCTATTTTACAATTGGAAGATTGATACTTCATGACATGGAACAGTTTGCTTCAACCTCTCCTCTGGAATTCTTGCTCAATGTTTTCACTGTTTGTTATCAGTTGTTGGTTCTTGAATGTATATGAGCTTTGATGGTTTATTCCTTAATCGATTCATTTCTTGTAAGTATGTTGTTTTCTTGTACTTTGTACTCCATAAGAAGATAAATTTTTAAAAATTCACAACTTTCTTTGGGAAAATGCACAAGTACCCCCTCAACCTATGCTCGAAATTTCGGAGACACACATATACTTACTAAGGTCTTATTACCCCTCTGAACTTATTTTATAAGTAATTTTCTACCCCTTTTTAGCCTACGTGGCACTAGTTTGAAAAAAAAAGTCAACCATCGTTGGGCCTACAAGATAGTGCCACCTAGGCTAAAAAGGGGTAAAAAATTATTAATAAAATAAGTTCAGGGGGGTAATAGGACCTTAGCATAGTATAAGTGTGTCTCTGAGATTTCGGGCATAAGTTGAGGGGGTACTTGGGCACTATCCCTCTTTCTTTCGACAAATGAGTCGGCCTATTTACACACAACGTCATTTAAGGTGCAATTATCTTTTTAAGGGAACTTTGCATATGTAGCTGATTTGGCATTGTCACATATATTAAGAACTTGAAAGATTGTAAAATTCTTACTCTTTCATGAGTATTATCTTCTACATATTTACAATTATAATATTTGTTCTTTGATATTACTATCTTCTCAATGTTGAATGTTTTTCATAGATTAGTCAATTATCACTTTCTCTATTGTTACTTAATTTAATTGCCTATTTTATTCTTTAGCCGTTAGAAACTAGTTTTCTTTGCTCTGACATGTCAATGTCCATAAATACCTCTAAATATTTCATAATGTCAAACAACGACTTGCCGAAAAAGAAGAGTGAACAAGTTGATCATGGCCGAAGGTGACAGGACTTTGATGAATAATGAAGGCTTAAAAGGAGAACAAAGGTGGTAGTAGAGAACCACCAAATGTGAAAGGAAGAACCGAACGAGTTCGATAATTGAGGTTCAAACAACTAAAGAAAATGAAAGACGAGCTGAGGAACAGACGGTGATCCACTGATCGTGTTCGGTGAGCTTAATTACTAATGTCCCTTAGTTGGTCATGCAGTGAATTTTAGGCCAAATATTGGGAAACTATAAATAGTCCAAAAGAGAGATATGAATTCTTTTTTGAGATCTTTTGAGATTCTTTTGTATGAGACTTCTTACCTTGTGAAAATTATCTTTAGTTTTAGGATTTCAATTTCATTCTTGAAATTGACAATTTCAAGTTGAAATTGACGTGGGTGTTGATTATAATTACTTTATTTCATCACAATCATGATTGAGCATGATAGATATAATCTCTTTACTTTTTGTCATGGGTGGTTAAATCCTGATTCTCGAGATGCAATTATGAGTTTGGGTATTAATTTAATGTAGTGAATTGTGTTTTGCTCTGTTTTATTTAGAGTCGTTAAAATGGGCTTGGCCCGTGAGGCTAGGCTAACCCAACCCTTGAAATAAGTGGGGTTGGACTGAATATTTTTTCCCCATTTAGGAACGAGGCTTTTTAGCCCGCACCTTTGGTCCGTTGGCCTCATAGCCCAACCCGCAAGTCTCATAGGTCAGTCCATGGGCTATTAATTTTTAATAATTTTCTTTATATTTTTAATATTTTTTATTTGTAAAGATTTTATCAATAAATATTTTAAAAAATAAAAATCAAGTCTTTTGGAATATCATTTTATACGATGAACTATAGATGAAGATGAACTTCTTAAGGAAATAATATCACATGTTGATTCAAATGTGATTGGTGGTGGAAGCGAAAGTGGGGTCATAAAACTTTAATTAATGAGTCATGTAATATTTAGAAATTTTAGATCTGTTAAGTATTTAGGTTGTCTTGTATTGTTGGAAATCTTTTAAACCAGCTAGTTTTTTTGTGGGAGAAATGATGGAATGATCAACATTTATTCGCTAAATCTTACCTTGGCTATTATGTATTTTTGTAAGTATTCACCAAAGTATGTAATTCATAAATTTATTTTTGTTAGTGTTCACCGAAGTGTGTGATTTATAAATAAATTTTATATGAATTGATGTCGTGTCCATACACGTCAACATTCGATACTCTTTCTAAGAGAGTAATATTGTTCATTTTTTTGTTGAACGGCCAACCCGTGGCCTACTTAGGGCTGGGTTGAGATACTATTTTATAGATTCTTTAATTAAAAGGGTCAGCCCGCCCCAATCCATTTAACTCTCTAGCCTGTTAGGGTTGGATTGGGTCAGCCCATTTTGACAACTCTAGTTTTATTGTTGTTAATTCATGGATTTAAGCTAATATTTAACATTAGGTTAATTCATGGGTTAAGGTTGTAAACTTAATCTTATTCTTGATATCCAATTGATGCTCAAAATTGATCGATTAGAGCGGGGTAATTAGTTTAATGATTCAATCTAGATTTGATTTCTATTGTTTGCGCGAAAGAGCGATTATGGTTCAGATCTATGTGCCCAATTCTTCTCGAATATGAGATTTCTTAAGGTAATGGGTTGATTTTCTATTAACATGGATGAGATGGAAAGGAGATTCTATGAATTGGTACAATGAGATCGAAGTACAATTAGTGTTATTAAAGATGACCCAGCCTATCCATGATTATTTAGCACTGTTGAGAAATAAATTACCCCTATGTGACATCAATTCCAACTCTCGTACCCCTATAATATATACTTCTTAATTGCTTGACTTTCTGAGGTCTAGTTTAATTGTGGCATTTGATACTATAAACTATTTTAGTGAATTTGGTAGAATCAGCCACCCATTTGTCTTAACGTGCTACAATGAATAGGTTCACATTCCTAAATTTTGTTTAATTCTTATCATTATATCATTTGTTGAGGATTTCGACCCTTATTCTTAATTGGGTATTTTATTGACGATGTCTGCTTACTCTTCGAATTTGTTTTGAGGGTAATTTGAGTGTCTATCAAGTAACCCAATTCTCCTTAGAAAATTTATACTTACTATAATTTTGATCATAATATTTATTGGACATTTCTCCAAGAATACAAGTCTTGCATAAATAATCATCATCTTGCCATTTGACAATTTTTTTTCTTTAATCAGAATAGCTTGTTCGTTGCTACCTCAGAACCGAGAGCATTAGAACAAGGTCTCTCAAGAAGTAGCATATGCCAACTTTAATCATTTCACAAAGAATTTCATCTTTTCATGTCATCTAGAAAAGTCTTTGTCATCAAATATTTCAAAATTAGGATTAGGCAAAGATGGTACTGATCTATTGGATATTGATATGAATGTCGTTAAAACAACTATCTTCAAATTGCGTTAGAACAAGAATGACAAAAGTACAAGCACAATAAAACGTTTCTTGAAGATAGTGGGAGTCTCTCCCACGAGCAAATAGAAGAAAAAATAATAAGTACTCCATCTTCTAGATTCAACTAAGCAACAAAATAAATGACATTAAAAAATGTTGCTCTTCTATTCTTGAGTTGGTGTATTCATAACTGATTTTATATGAAAAAGTAATTCTTTTGAGTGTTTATTTTCTCAACCAAAAGAAACTCAATTTATAGAACAAGTTTTATAAGTTAAATATATTGTAGGTTCATGAATTGAGGGAAAAAAAGTACATACCTTCAAAAAAAACTTAGTAACATAGAGGTAAAACAAAATGAATTTTACAATTCACATTCATATTTTATATATTTCAAAAACTTTTAATGGACAAATATGTTTCAAAATTAATTTCAGCACTAACTCTTACATCATATTGTATTAGAAGGACGAATTTGCATTTTTCTACCTTTGTCAACTACACTATTAATTCGAAATTGTGTAAAACAAGTAAATTTGAAAGATAACTTCTCACTATGAATATACTTGTATGACGTTGTAACTTGATGAGGGCACGTAACTGTAATATATTGTCAATATTTGTTAAATTACTAATAAATTTTAAGATAGTATATTTTTATCATATTTATATGAAAAAAGTTACTTTATAGTACTTTTCATATTGTTTTTAAATATCTAAATTCAATTTAAAATATTGAATAAACATAAGCTAATTTAACTTTAAAAATCATTGAAATTAACTTTTCAAAAGTGTAACATGACAATTACAAAGGGGAAAAACGAAATATAAAAAATAATATATTATATTTTTTCCAATTATGTGATGTTACTTTATAGTAACTTTTTTTCAAAATAATATATTAAAGGTTTTAAAACAAATCATAAATATTTATAAAATTATATTTTAAAAAGTGCATGAATTAATTCGTGATGTATTACTTCTTTACCTTTAATCATAAATTTCTAATTCAATTTTGAAAGAAAGTGTCCTAAATAAGCGGCTCAACCTAAATTTAATTGGAGCTTCGATTCGGACTCGAATAATTTTGAATGTAATTTTCAGGAATCTATAATTTCATCGTGTTTTAGTAGGGTTTATGACGATTTTTATA